GCAGGTAATACTCGATTCGACAGCCATGTCAAATATTAAACCAGGTCCCACTTCAATTTGCCGTCTGCTTCAAGTCAAAGCAGGTCCGCTTTGACTCGAGGTTGAAGCTCAGTCGAATATTTGAGCTGCTTTGACTTCCCCATAGGCTAGAATGGGGAAGGCCGAAGCAGGCTAAAACTCTGGCATTTCTTGTCTGATCTTGATGAAACTTACAGGAATGGTATCTCCTGAGGAGCCCACAAAGCCTGCCAAGTTTCAACAAGATAGGTTCAGGGGGTTTGGAGAAACAGCACCCCAAATTCTTGAGAGCAAACTGCCTGTGACTTCCATGTGGAAAGCCAGAGGGAGATCAAAACTGCAGGCTTGCTAGCCCCCAAGGGACCCACAAAGCCTGCCAACTTTCACGGTGATAGGTGCAGGGGTTTGGGAGAAACTGCACCTTTTGGCTGCTGACAGACAAAACTCGTGATCCAGATGGAGGGAGGAGGGTGGCATTTATTCCATCTGCACCTGGCGCTTGGGGACCCTGGCAGCGGGAGGTTCACCATGAGGAATACCAGCTGCTCCCCCAAACCAGGATTCAAGCAGGTGCAGTGTCACAACATCCGTAGCCATGCTGAACACCCTCTTGCTTGGCACACTGGTTGGTGGACAGGACAGGTATTCCTGGGCAACTGTGGCCAGATCCGGCCACATCGAGCTGAGAGTTGCCCAGTAGGCCGAGGGGTCGCAGTCCAGGGGCTCCACAGGCTTGGCAAGATAGGCAGACACTGCAGTGTAAGGGCTGTCTGCCTGATCCTGGGGTCTGGTGGGTCTGGACCTCCTAATGTTTGCCATGGCCTTGGCCCATATTGGCAGCACCTGTGGTGGAGGGGAAGACTGGCTCATGGATGGCAGGCTGGGTTCAAGCAGTGAATCCCCTGTCCCACTTCCCCCCGCCTCCGCCTCCATCACTTTGTTAATAAGTACCTCCCTCCAGTGACTCAGTGTCTTGCTGCCACATATGGTGCCCTTCCGCCTTGGGTCACAGATGGTGGCCAGCATATGCACTGTGTTGGACCCCAAGGGTTCAAGCCTCTTCCTAAGGCCCTCCTTCAGCTGCCTCACCAGTGCCTGCATATCTAGCGACAGCAGCCTGCCCCAGCCAGGAACACTGGCCCCCAGGAAGCTCTCTATTTGGCTGCGAAGCTCCTTCACTATGGGGACCACGTGGCTGAGGAAGGCATCAGCAGCACTGAGGGTCTCCGGGGCCTCAAGGAAGGGCTTGAGGACCAGTGAGATCTGGAAGATGGCATCCCACTCAGCTTTGGTCAGGGGGTCGCTGATCCCAATCTCCCCAAGCAAGGCCAGCTCATGGATG